ATAAATCGGAATAGATAATATAACAATCTGAGTTTTTTAAATAATGTTTTGAAGGGATTTGACACGTAAACGTCGTGCGATTTTTTGTAACAAATGTCTGCGCATGTAAACTAATATGATATGATTAACTTTAATCTGGGTTACTGGAATCCTGTGATTCTATATTCTGTCAGTTGTATTGTTATGTTGGCTAAGCCGTATAGTGGCGGTGTGAGAATATCCACTACCACATATCATCCCGTGGGTGTCGTAAGAGGCGACAGAGGTAAACAAATCAGGAGATGGTCAGTAGCGTCTTCTTAAAAAATAAATATAAAAAAACGCGTGAGTGTCGTGCATACTCGGTTGGAACGAAGTTCCTTTCATAGTACATTATTATTGATAAACGTATTATATTATTGATTAACAAATACAAACAAATGAATTACTAGAGTCTATTAAAGTGAAGCGTCATTTAAAATAAAATAATATTTCTTTCATGGCAATATAAGAGAAAGTGCGAGGGAACACTACCTCAGATGTGTTCGTGACGGAAAAATCTTACACTTTTTTTTCACATAGCCTAACCTAGCCGCCAAATTCATACAGTCCGATGAGGAACTTCGTTCCAAGAACTGCGATTGCCTACCCGCTTGTCAAGCGTGGCAACTATGGCAAATATCCCCCTATGAGGCAATCTATGGGGGAGGCCTATGTACAACAGTGGACTTTAATAGGCTGTCGTGGATGGATGTATAGAAGACAATCTACCAGGAGCACATGACCCACTGAGAGGTGAAATTTTCAGATAAACAGTAAACTATGGCAAATATCCTATGATGCAATCTATGTGGAGGCCTATGTTCAGCAGTGGACTTTAATAGGCTGTAGTGGATGGATGTATAGAAGACAATCTACCAGGAGCGCATGAACCACTGAGAGGTGAAATTTTCAAATCAATAGTAACATTACAACTATGGCAAATATCCTATGAGGCAATCTATGGGGGAGGCCTATTTGCTGTAGCGGTAACGATGTTTACCTTCAATTTGGTTCTATTAACATTTTGCCCGTCATCTTTTTCATTTAGCCGCATCTTTGACAATGTATTTATTCTATAGGAAGCCACTCCTAAACGATTTATTCGACATTCGCCATTGTTATCCGGTTCCGCTTTGAGTGCCGTTGTCACTGTCAAGGTTGGCGACTCTGAAAGACTACTCAATGCATTTTGGATTTTATTTCCAAATCTAAATGGCAACCGAACTAAAAGTCAACCTGATGGTGGCAACTACAGCCCAAAGACACTTGCAACCGATTTGAAACAATGAAACACAGATAAGTTTTACCCCTGATGTATAAGATGGAATGCCTCATGGAATGAATTTTTTCCAGTAAAAAGCGTATCCGGTCATACACACAGTCGAGCACACAGTTCACCTAATGGTAAGTGGATGCTGTGGCTCATAGACATCTACATTTATCCTTGATTAAATATCAAAATGCAGATGCGTTGTCATCCATGAGGAGTAAGATGGAATGCCTCGTTGTCCTTTCCAGTAAAGTTTTCCGGTTCTCTACCCTCACCATACGAAACACAACAGCATTAAGCTGATACTTTTATTTGGTAGAACCACGCTGCAAGTATAGTACGCTTTCACATAGTAGCTATCGTGAAATAGCAGTTTCAGTCTGCTGTGTTTTGTATGGTGGGTGTAGAGAACATGTGTCACCCTTATTCTATTTAAAAAAAATACATTGGTGTTGTGTGAGAGCATGGTCCTTCCCCGGTCGAGCCGACCCATTCGTGTTATACTATATAGCAATAGCGTGGCTCTACCATGTAATTGTACGCTGTATTGTGGTCGGTTTTAATACCTCTACAAGTAGATTATTCAAACGTCTGAAAGAGGGTGAAAACTAAAAAAAAAAACAATTTTAAGTTCTATTACGTTCTCAATCATACATGCACATACATACTATTACAGCTGTGGGGAACGTGCAACTCACACATAATATATTACACCAACATACATTCTCACACACACACACGCATTTAACAAACTACATTTTACACTAATAACACACCACCATACTTACCAGTTGGCCGACGCTCATAGGTTCGATCCCGATGGTGTCATCGATGCATTACCTTATAAGGTGCTATCGAGTGCGGCAATGGCTACGAGCGGGTGGCGTGAGCGCAACGCCTCCTTGAATCTCGATCAGTCGGTTACGTACTACTACGGAGAGAGATTGTCGCTTTAGCTTACGGACGTTTGCTATTAAAATATTTACGTGTGTACTAAAGCCTATTATCTATTTTCTCTTAAACTTCTCTCCGCCTTTCTTTATATCTATAAGCTTGTTTCTTCTTGTAAGTGTTGCATTCTCCTTCTGACTATATAATTATTGGTGTGACTGTATTTATGTGCAATAAACGTGTTAGTGTAATAAGTGTTGGACATTATTTATCTATATGCCCGTTACTATACACATAACAACAGACTGCGCACCCACTACATTGGTGACCCCGTTTGAACACAATAATGAGCAACGTCGAGAACAAGTTCGAAGATGCTAGAACGTTTGCAGGTGACCGCGCCCAGGCTCGCTCAACAACGACAGAGACGCCGCAAAATGAGCCTACATTAGAACTATGTAAGGTCGGAGTTCGAGTACCACCATTTTGGCCGGAGGAGCCAGAGATATGGTTTGCCCAGGTGGAAGGTCAATTTAATATATCCGGCATTACAAGTGATGCAACTAAATTCAATTACGTTATTGGTCAGCTGGATAACCAGTACTCAGTGGAGGTAAAAGACATTATAATTAACCCACCAACTAGTAATAAATATGACAAGCTGAAGAACGAGCTAATTAAGCGGCTGAGTGCATCCAAAGAGAAAAAGCTCACACAGTTATTAATGCACGAAGAAATGGGTGACAGAAAACCATCACAGTTTCTCCGTCATCTGCAAGGTCTTGCTGGCATACAGGTCTCGGATGATTTTATGAGAACCATTTGGATCAGCCGTCTTCCATCTGGCATCCAAACATTTTTAGCAGGCCAACCGCATACATCCATCGAGACACTAGCAGACGTAGCCGATAGGATTCACGACCTAGTACCATCATCGCCTCAGGTGGCATCAACAAGTCGTTCTTATAATGAACCGGTGTACAACGACCTTGCGAAAGAAGTTGCAGCGCTTAGAAAGGAAGTGCAAGCACTTACTCTAATGCACAGAAGAAGCAGACCACGATCACGCTCTAAACGAGATACTCGTAAAAATCGCTCTTCATCAAGGTCTCAGTCCAGCTACAGAAAATTTCCTTTATGCTGGTACCACTCCAAATTCGGCGAAAAGGCAGATAAATGTGTACGCCCATGCGACTATCGGTCGGAAAACTCCAAGGGCAATCGGTGATGTCGACCGACGATTGCCCCTACTCAACTGGTCGTCTATTCGTAACCGACCGCATCTCGAAGACTCAGTTCCTGGTCGATACAGGAAGCGACCTCTGCGTCTTCCCTCGGTCGTTGCTACGTAAACGTCGTGCTCGGACTACATACCAGCTAAGTGCAGCCAACGGTTCTCATATAGACACTTATGGTTATGTACATTTAAACTTAGATTTTGGCTTACGTAAAATATTCAAGTGGCGTTTTGTAGTTGCAAATGTAACAAAGCCCATTATTGGCGTAGATTTTTTAAACTATTATAGTATAATTGTAGATTGTCGTAACAAGCGTATTACTGACATCTATAGTAGCCACTGCCTCACAAGTAAAATCAACCAATATTTCATCAATTAAGGTTTTAACTGGTAACACAAAATACCACCAAATTTTGACAGAATTTTTGGAAATTACCCGACCAGCTGGTATACACCGCACTATACAGCATAACACAGTTCACCATATACGTACGACACCAGGACCTCCAGTTTCTTGTTCACCTCGTCGCCTCGCTCCAGATAAACTCAAAATAGCCCAACAAGAGTTCCAATCCATGCTAGATAATGGGATAGCTAGACCTTCTGAAAGTTCTTGGTCTTCGCCACTCCATTTAGTTCCAAAAAAAGATAATGGTTGGCGTCCTTGCGGGGACTACAGAATGCTTAACGCTCGAACAGTGCCCGACAGATATCCGATCAGGCACATTCAGGACTTTGCACATAGTATATCTGGTTGCAAAATTTTTAGTACATTGGACTTAGTCAAGGCTTACAATCAAATACCAGTTAGTCCTAAAGATGTACCAAAAACTGCAATAACAACGCCTTTTGGACTCTTTGAGTTCCCATTCATGGGTTACGGTTTACAGAATGCTGCACAAACGTTCCAGAGGTTTGTGGATGAAATGACAAGGGGGCTCGACTTCTGCTATTGTTATTTGGATGATTTTTTAGTTTTTTCAAAGGACGAGGCACAACATGAACAGCATTTGCGCGCAATTTTTCAAAAACTAAAAGAATATGGTATGCTAATTAATACGTCTAAGTGTCTTTTTGGTGCTCGAGAAGTATCCTTTTTGGGATATCACATCTCGGCATCAGGCACCATACCACTAGACACTAAAGTTGAAGCCATAAAAAACTTCCCATTGCCCACCAGTGTTCGTCAACTTCGACGATTTCTGGGCATGGTCAATTTTTATAGGCGATTTTTACCACGTGCTGCAGAAATACAAGCACCGCTTAACGCCTTGTTGGCAGGCGTAATAAAGAATAACCAGCCTATTACATTATCTGGTGAGTCTTTAAATGCATTTAAAACATGCAAAGAAAGCCTTTCTGAGGCAGCGTTATTAGCACATCCAGATTGCCAAGCAAAATTGGCTTTAGTCACTGATGCGTCGGATAAGGCAATTGGAGCTGTTCTACAGCAGTTAAAAGAAGACGTATAGCAGCCGCTAGCATTTTTCTCCCGAAAGCTGAACACTTCTCAGGCAAAATATTCCCCTTACGACAGGGAGCTCCTAGCAATTTATGAGGCTATTAAATATTTTCGCTACATGTTAGAAGCAAGACATTTCACAGTATATACTGACCACAAGCCAATCAGTTTCGCATTTCATGCAAGGAAATCCAACTGTTCGCCTAGGCAGTATAGGCACTTAGATTATATAGCCCAGTTTACAACAGATATCAGACATATTTCCGGTAAGGACAACGTTGTTGCCGATACACTTTCGCGCGTAGAGGCATTAGAGGCCCCTATTGACTTAGAAGCATTAGCTAAAAGCCAAGCTTCTGACCCTGAGCTTGAAAAGCTCATAAAAGAAGGCTCGTCACTACGCCTAGAAAAACTTACTGTACCCGGGAGTCGAACCCCATTGTACTGCGACGTCAGTACACCGACTGCCCGGCCGTTTGTAACCAAGTTTTTCCGAAAACAAGTTTTTAACACTTTACATTCGCTCAGTCATCCAGGCGTTAACGCAACCGCCAAGTTAGTAGCAGAACGTTTCGTGTGGCCGAAAGTTAAAAAAAGACTGTCGAGAATGGTCAAAAACGTGTTTACCATGCCAACGTTCGAAAATATATCGGCATGTTAGCTCACCTATAGGCACGTTTAAAATACCGCGTGCAAGGTTTAAACAGATTCACATCGATCTTGTAGGGCCGTTGCCATTGTCGGATGGCTACCGTTATTGTCTGACGTGTGTTGACCGCTTCACAAGGTGGCCTGAAGCTGTTCCGATCGCTGATATAACAGCAGAAACGGTTGCGAAGGCTTTGTTATCTTGTTGGATAGCTCGATTTGGTTGCCCCGCAGACATTATAACTGACCGCGGTAAGCAATTCGAGTCAAACCTTTTCCAACAACTCGCCAAAATAGCCGGATTCCAGCACAAACGTACGACGGCTTACCACCCGGCAAGTAATGGACTAGTGGAACGATTCCATAGGCAGCTCAAATCGTCCATAATGTGTCATACACGAGAAAAATGGACCGAGTCACTGCCATGGGTATTGTTAGGGATACGCAGTTCATTTAAAGAGGACTTACAATCATCCTCTGCTGAATTATTGTATGGTGAACCTTTATCTTTGCCCGGAGAATTTTTTGAGCCCAGTGCCAGCGGTACAACGGACATAACCGAATTTGCATCCCGCATTCGCACGTTTGCTCAAAAATTACGCCCAGTGCCTATGTCTCACCATAGCAATAAAAACATCTTCATTTTTAAAGATCTTGCCCACAGCAACCACGTATTTGTACGTGAGGACGCATCACGTGGATCCTTGCAGCCTAAATACAGCGGGCCTCACAAAGTCCTCACTAGAAGTGACAAAATATTTAAGGTCTTGGTTAACGGGAAGGAAGTTACGGTTACAGTTGATCGCCTTAAACCAGCCCATATATTATGTGACGCATCAGATAAACCCGATGTTAATAATACTGTAATAACCTCGAAAGAATACATAACAAGTTCAGGACGTCGTGTAAAATTTACCGATTTTTATCGCCCTTAGCCAGGTCTCTGGAGGGGGGTGATGTGGGGAACGTGCAACTCACACATAATATATTACACCAACATACATTCTCACACACACACACGCATTTAACAAACTACATTTTACACTAATAACACACCACCATACTTACCAGTTGGCCGACGCTCATAGGTTCGATCCCGGTGGTGTCATCGATGCATTACCTTATAAGGTGCTATCGAGTGCGGCAATGGCTACGAGCGGGTGGCGTGAGCGCAACGCCTCCTTGAATCTCGATCAGTCGGTTACGTACTACTACGGAGAGAGATTGTCGCTTTAGCTTACGGACGTTTGCTATTAAAATATTTACGTGTGTACTAAAGCCTATTATCTATTTTCTCTTAAACTTCTCTCCGCCTTTCTTTATATCTATAAGCTTGTTTCTTCTTGTAAGTGTTGCATTCTCCTTCTGACTATATAATTATTGGTGTGACTGTATTTATGTGCAATAAACGTGTTAGTGTAATAAGTGTTGGACATTATTTATCTATATGCCCGTTACTATACACATAACAACAGACTGCGCACCCACTACACAGCCTATAAAAGTCGACTGGTAAACATAGGGCTCTCCCATAGATTGTCTCATAGGGAGGATTTTGCCATAGTTGCCACGCTTGGCAGGCGGGTTGGCAACCGCAATTTTTTATTATTTTGAGTTATCAGGAAGATGCTGCTGGTCCATATTTCGTTTTAATTTCTCTCTGTCGCCTGACGACACCCACGGGACGATGTGGGCTAGTGGATATTATTACACCGCCTCTGCACGGAATCACGATATTACGTGTCTGTAAAAGTGTGAAAATAAATTGTTTTTCTGTAGGATCCGGCGTAGGTATGACATTTTATTTTTTAATTTCACTCTTGTACCGCAAGTCATCGGCGTGTATCGACGTCTGTCTATATAAACAATAACGCGATCCGTTACCGTTGTCTCGGTCAGCATTCCACGAATGCCCAGTCTAACCATAAACAGTTCAATTTTTTGTAGTGAAAACTTCTTTAGGCGCGGCGGGCGATTTTTGGGTGGTTATTATCATTTTACCCGACTGCGGAGGGTAATGTGTTTATTAGCCTATATATGTATGTATCATATTTGTTCCTTTGTAGTGTTCTAGAGACCAAACGCTTTTTGTTACGTGGTAGAGCCATGCTGAGCCATATTAGTAGTATAGTTGTAGCACAGAATACCAGCGTCAAATAGCAGCTTAATGCTGCTGTGTTTCGTATGGTGAGTGTAGAGAACCGGAGACCCTTTTTACTGGGAAAAAGGCATTCCATCTTAGTCCTCACGGGTGACGACGCATCTGGATTTTGATTCTTTATTGAGGATAGATGTAGATGTCTATGGGGCACAGCAACCACTTACCATCAGGTGGACTGTGTGCTCGTTTGTTACCCTATCCTATAGAGAAAAAACGCGTGTTTTGATTTTGATGCTTCTTCCGTTAATCGATTTGTCTTAGACTTGTGAGGATCACTAAATACATGATAGTAATTAAAATTCAATATGGCGTCAACCAGATGCCATATAGTGAGAAAAAAAAAGAAAAACGATGAACTATGTCAAGTGGAGTCTTTGCGTTATAGCATGGTGCGGCGGGTGACAGCTTACAGTATGGCGTGTCTAGAGATGGAACAATGCTAAATCGATTTAAAAAAGGCGATTAACGATACACAAAGCAAAGCAAAAATTATCGATTAGCTATCGATATAAAAATTAAAACCGAACCATATATTTGTTAGTAAATTACAATGCATGTAAAATTAAGTTAAAGTTTAATACAAATTATGACATAATAGTTACTCCCTAATAGGTGTTCCCGGACCGCGCCCGCTTGGTATTTATTACGATTGGATTTCATGGGTTTTAATTTCTTTTGCGCGGAATTCTAATTCTTTTTCTAAAATAAAAGTAGCTTGTTACTCCTTATAACATCAGCTATCTGCCAGTGCCAGATATAAGCCGGAACAAACAGACGGACAGACAAATATTTTAAAAATTGTCTTTTTGTTATAAATACCGTATACACTTTCATATGTATTTAGTAAAAGCCTGTTATTTTGAGATTACAAACAGACACTTCAGTGTATAGATTATACTGTTTTTTTTTTTTTTAATTATAGGAGAGGGGGCAAACGAGCATGCGGCTTACCTGATGGTAAGCCCATGAACAACTGCAACACCAGGGAGGGAATTGCAGATGCGTTGCCGGCCTTTTAAAAAGGAGTACGCTCTTTTCTTGAAGGTCCCTAAGTCTGAATCGGTCCGGAAAAATCGCTGTTGGTAATCGATTCCACAAGGAAGTCGTGCGAGGAAGAAAACATCTTCTAAATCGCACAGTGGTGGACCGCCAATCATCCAGATGGTGTGGATGGTATCGGGAGTTCTGCCGCAATGTGCGTTCGTGAAATTTGGCGGCTGGGATTAATCCGAACAATTCCTCATAGCACTCCCCATGGTAGATGCGAAAGAAAATGCAAAGGGATGCAACATCTCTTCGCAGTGCCAATGAATCAAGCCGATCGGAAAGGGCTCGGTCATCGACGATTCGAGCTGATCTGCGTTGGATGCGGTCAAGTGGAAGGAGCTGGCACTGGGGAGCCCCTGCCCAGAGATGGGAACAGTATTCCATGTGAGGCCGAACCTGCGCCTTGTAAAGTTGCAGGCGGTGTGCCGGCATGAAATACTGTCCCGCTCTGCTGAGCACGCCAAGCTTTTTAGGGGCCAATTTGGCCTTCTCTTCCAAGTGACCACGAAACTGCACGTCACTCGATATGTCGACTCCGAGGATACCGATACTGGCTGAGGCAAGAAGGGGAGTGCCTTGAAACTGAGGAGATACGACAAAGGGGTTCTTTTTAGCGGTAAACGCGCAAACTTGTGTCTTCTGAGGATTAAACTGGACTAGATTTAGTCGCCCCCAATTCGAGACTTTGTTCAGCAAAGACTCGACTTCAGACACAAGTTTGTTCCGGTACTCGGCGACGTTTTCCCGAGAAATATTGGCACGGCCGGTGTATATAGCATCACCAGTGCTGTCATCTGCATAGCAATGAATGTTACCAGTTAGCAACATATCATCGATATGCAGAAGAAACAGCGTTGGTGATAGCACACAGCCTTGTGGAACACCAGCGTTAATAGGCTTGTAGTCAGAGCATGCACCGTCTACAACGACCTTGATGCTCCGATCTGCAAGGAAACTGGTGATCCAATTACACAATTTCTCGGAAAGCCCATAGGAAGGGAGCTTCGAAAGAAGCGCTTTGTGCCAAACCCGATCGAAGGCCTTCGCAATGTCCAGACTAACGGCCAACGCCTCCCCCTTGGACTCAACTGCCTCCGCCCATCTATGGGTCAGGTAGACCAGAAGATCACCAGCTGATCGACCCCGACGAAAACCGTATTGGCGGTCACTAATCAGCTGGTGATCCTCAAGGTACCGGATGAGCTGGCAGTTAATAATGGATTCCATTATTTTGGAGAACAAGGAGGTGATCGCGATAGGCCTATAGTTGGACGGGTCTGAGCGGTCACCTTTTTTAGGGATAGGGTGTACAAAAGCTGTCTTCCATGAATTCGGGACTACGCCTTGGGAGTAGGAGTACCGGAAAAGACGCGTTAGGACCGGTGCCAACTCCGGAGCACATATACTCAGCACAATTGGGGGGATTCCGTCAGGCCCACTCGACTTCTGGATGTCCAGGGAGATGAGTGCTTTGCGAACCGAGCGCTGTGAGAACAGCACATCCGGAATGGAGCACTCACACCGCGGGATGGTCGGCGGTGTTTTCCCCCCGTCATCAAGAGTCGAGTTGGACGCAAAAAGGGAGCCTAAAAGGTCGGTTTTGTCTTTTGCGTCTTGGGCCAGTGACTCATCCTCCCTGTGCAGAGATGGTAGTGACGGCTTACAGAAATTCCCTTGGACAGCCTTGGTGAGAGACCAGAATGCCCCGTGCATCCCGAAGGAAGGCGAACTAGTTTCTCGCCAATTCTGCCTATGTGCTCTGACTTTGCCTTGGCAATAACTCTTTTGAAGGACCTGGAGGCGAA